CGGAAATTACTGAACTTACACTTCAACGAAAGCGGAAAGTTGGCGAAATTTTGAACAGATTTCACACGTACGAAGCAGAAGGTGAGTGTGAGTCACGTAGCTATGGTTCAGCTGACTGTGTAATCACTTGCCGTTTCACGTCTGTCGATCGTCAAATCATGCTTATCATATCTATATGATATAAATAAAGAAATTATAGAAATTTCCGGAGAAAGTGCTTCGTACGTGTGAAATCTGTTCGAAATTTCGCCAACTTTCCGCTTTCGTTGAAGTGTAAGTTCAGTAATTTCCGAGAAACTGTTGAGTTAGAGTTAATTGATAGCGGAAATTTCCTGGTAATTTAGTCCAAGTGTGGTTGCATTTTCCGTAATTACTGATAAATTTCGTTCTATAGGATGAGTAATTACCGAAATTTCCAGCAGATTTCTTCAGCGAAGTGAAGATAATTGCCGAAATATCTGGGAAGTTTCGCTAACATGTATCTGAAAAGCTGACATGTACCTGAAATTCGGAAATTTCGCGAAAATTTCTTTCTTATATAATGGCAATTACTGGAATTTCTACGAAATTTCCGTTTATGCGCATGAATGTTTTTAATGGGCATTAGAGTAATTTGGGTAAACTGGGAAATTTCCTTTTTTGGAAATCTGAACATACCTCAAGGTTTTGGGTTTGGATTTTTCACACGATCTAAGCCGGAAACCTCACCTTTCCCAAGTTATATTACATATTGGTCAGCTAACATATAGATCATTAATTGACTGAAGGTCACCCCAATCCTACAATAAAAGATTTTGAACAGAAAAGACTAACAATATAAAGAAGTTGTTTACTTGAAGCATTAATACTGCATTCATTAAATTCATTTCTTCAATTTCACTAAATATTGAATTACGTCCAGAACCAAAAGATGTAACATTTTCATTAACATGATCATTTAATGTTGAATATGGTATATTATCACTACGAGATGCTTCACATATTAATAAACCATTTTTTACGGCCTTCACAGCGTTTTCTAAATCTTCAGCAGTATATTGCTATTGACGTTTACGCTTTTTAATATAATTACGAATCATGAAAATTATTTATATTGACAATATTCTAAAATATTCCTTTTTACATTAACAGCAGCTATCTGTTGAATTTAAATTTATTTAATTAGAAAAGATCTGACGTTTCAGCTCTTCATAGAGTCGTTTTCAAAGAAAAATATAGAACACTTACTGTACTGAACGATTGAAAATTTGTAAAAAGGAATGAAAAGAATTTTGTCTTTATATAGTGTGTTAGTGATGAACAGTTAATATTTCTGTTATCGATCATTTTAGGTTATTCTTGCATAACTTTTTTGTTTATCCGCCTGGATCAGTATCCTTCTTGTTCTTTCTGTGAGAAACGCCGACAGAAAACACAATTAAAGATACATGTCTAATTAACTGTACGATCTAAGTGGGGATTGAATGATACAATTAAGAGTGACTCGTTGACTAACAATCGATACTAAACTTTGTCTCTATCCATTATGCGCCAATTTTCACAATCCATAGTGATGAGAGGTGTTTTCAACATGTTTTTGTAGGACAGACTTCCCATTCTATTAATGTTTGAAATAAAATCGTTTTTAGTTTTAGAAATGATTTAGAAAAACATTTAACCAAATTTGTGAATTCAAATGAGACCCAAAATTAGAAACATTAAGCGATCATTATTTTATAACCTAAATTTTAGTTTATCATCTAGAATCAATTAAGAAGAACTCAAACACATCTGATTTTAGATTAGAATCGTGTTTAGAATGGGATTGTCAATTAATTATGTTTCTGGATTTTCGTTGTCACGTTATTATCATAATATTTTGAAAACAGCATATTCACCTATTAAAATTCTTTGATCATTGAAACATATAAAAAATTTTAAGAATAATTTATATTTTAATGTTTTTTCAGTAACCGATAGTTAGTGTATTCTAGCACATGAAAATTCAAACATTTTCTTCAGTTAACTGTATTTAGGATACAGGATTAATTAGAGTATTATCAAGTATCAACAAACTATGTACAAAATTAATGTCATCTGGTGGATAATTCGTAATTTGCTTACCTTTGTGTATTTTACGCTCGTACTCTTTTTCACATCAGTCAATAGGGAAATGTTTATTTTAAATATTTATCAAAAATCCCTTTTAATTTCCTAAAAATGGCTTAAATATACGAAAAATACTATAGATGTGACAGACGTCTCATTTTGAAGGAAACGCTTTTCTTTATGGGAATAAGTGTTTGAAAAAATTTTGACTGGTCAATACACAAGTGGACACTTTTTGCAAAGTGAACAATAATAAATTAAGAGTAGCTGTGGACAATCTTAAAGAATGCATAACTCAAGAAAGAATGACCAAAGGGAGTTGATCGATGTCAAAGTGCTTAACTGTATATTGTGGTCAAAACTCAGGTCTCAAAAATCAGAAGTCTTAATAGAAAAGAGGACGATGCATACTCTTAAACAAACTCAATTATCAATTTAAATGTTTGTTTTAAATATTTACCAAAACTCTCTTTTAATTTCTTAAAAACAACTCAAATATACCAAAAATACTACTAAAATTTCCAATAACTGATCGCTTTTTTCCCAATTTACTCTACCCGTCGTTCCGTATGAGGCGCTGTGTACGATGTGACTCATTTCCTTGTACCTGGTACTCATTTAAAGTTCCCATTACTTCATCCTCCATTTAGCGTTGGATAAAGCTAATATTCACTTAACTTGAAACCCAAAAGCAAACTGTCAAAAATATAAGTAAACTAGAATGAAAAGAATTTTCGTAAATCCTCTTCGTCATTGTCGAAATAAAAACAGCCTAAATAAGTTAGTATGTATGGATTTCTAAGTGCTCGAAATATTGTCTCGTAACTACTAAATTGTTTTGTTGAAGTAAAATCAACCAGATGAGCTAGCTGTTCCAGTTTTTTATATACGTATAAAGAAAATCGAAACTAGCTCTGTAATCCCGAATAAGCATGAAAACTCAGCATCATCCAGTCGTAATCGAATTTATTTTTAATGAAGATTTATAATTCTATTTTCGAATAATTAAGTGCACATCTTGTATGATTTCAATTATTGCTGAGGATAGTTTACAATAGTTTCTAAAATTTATCAATTTATTGTAGAGTCTCATGTCAATATTATAAATTGCAATATCAGCTGATAATAATGTTTTACTTTCGATAAGTAAAAATCAGAATAAATCTAAATCATTTTCATCATATTCTAATCTTGTTGTTGTTGTATCATCATTATTATAACCACATTTGAAGAAATATAACCGTAGACGTTCTAATTTATCGAAGTAAATGACAATTTGACTTAAATTTACTTTTGTAAATTTCAATTCTAAGTTTAATTCTAAACATTTAATCTTATTGCAAAATTCTGGCGTATTATAAAACTTAGCTGGAAAATTCAATAAATCTGATGCTTCAATAGATAACTACTTAATTTCGGAATTAAGCGTAAAATCTTCGAAAATACTTCCATGTTAAATTATTTTGGCATGCCATTTTCACAAATTTAATGTAATTTAATGTTCTTGTTATTATAGGACTGGAATTACTACTATCATTATCAGTTAATTCAAAGTCATCGATTTGAATACGTAATTGGCGATGAACAGCATAAAGCCAAATATTCTACATCATTTGAACACTTTGGATTGATTAGTCGATTATAGTCAATTTCGTCAATATAAAAATTAAATAAAATATTCTTTTCCATCCACGGCAGAGTGAAAATGAGTTTAAATTAGTTTTACGCACAGATTATACAGCATTAGATTTAGCACGTCGAATGCATCTCTCTATGTAAAAAAATCAAAAATCAAAATCACTGGAGTTTCGAAGTTTTACTTTGTTTGAATCTTTGATTCCAAAACTATAAGCAACTTTCTCGAAAAGCTGAAGGCAAAATTTTGGACCCTTAAGAGAGGATTCCTGAGGCTAGCAAGCATAGTGCTAATGGGGCGTAACATGAATTTTGTTACCCCTCTTTTTTGTTATGGATTCTGAATCTACACCAGAAACTGGGGTTTAAGCAATTTATCGGTTGTTTCCTTTTTGTTGATTAATTAACTAATCTAACAGAAAAATTAATGTGCTATACATAAAAGTGCTACCTTAAAATATTATTGGTCGGCTAGGAGTGAGGGTGCACGAGATTTCATAAGACTTGCAGAAAACTTCTAAAGACAGTCTCTGGAAAATCGGATTGTCAGAAAACTTTTGAGAATGAGATGCTGCATTAAGTTGTCGGATCAATCTGTAACAAGTATCACCTTGGACAAAAACATAGTTTTGATTATAATCAAGCACAAATCTTTTATCTTCTGACGAGGAAAATTAGACAGGTGTTATAGGCAAAATTAGAATTTGAATAATATTTAAGCAAGCTATCCATTTTGAGTAGGACTGGACCATTTAAGATGTCTGCAATGGCCAGGTGAGGAAATACACATGGTCTCTAAGAAACTATTACCTACTTACTACTTACCAGTTTAATTGTGCTGGGATTATTTGAAGATTTTTCCCGTATCCCAATGTAATGGAATAGATTAGTCAAATTAATTCATCCTGAACAAATGCTACTCCATATACGGGGGTTGTTTATTTTTTATTTCTTTTCCCTAAATCCAAATGAATAGTAACTAAATGTGTTACTGTACTATATATACTGTGTTGTAGAACAGACGAGACGGTAAACGCGAGTGCATCTATCAGGTGTGGCATAAACAAATAAAAACCTGACATTCAAAACGTCAGTTGTATAATACAGATACAAAAATAAACTCAAACGTTCGCTCGTGTTCTCTGATTTCAATATTTAATTCTTTTAACAACGTTGTATATCGTATTGATTGTTGTTAGAGTGTTTCTTTTTCTTTTCCTTTGTTATGTATATTACTGCATCAGCCATCAGTTCTTCATCTGATGAATACGTACAAGGGTCTAGTCATATGTACAATAAAAAATTTTGTTTCCTCTTACCACTATTCGTTCAAAAACACGATGCACTTGATTGCGTTGCAAATAACTTTTTACAGAGATGAGATAGAGACCTGCGGTTTTCATATTCTGAAAGTAGACAAAATTTGCCACAAATCTATGTAGAAGTCCCGTCACGGACACCACCGTGGCAACATTCGTATCAGTGCAGAAATGAAAATAAGGTGAGAAAATAAAATATTTTGAAAATTCGATTTTTAGCCTTTGACCGTCGTAGCATAAAAGTTTCATAACTCAACCATTTTTCGTCCAAATTGGCTCAAATTTTTAGAAAACGTTCAAAACAAGTCACAGATACAAGATCGAATCGACAAAAGGGGTTGTAAACTTTTATTACAAAATAAGTTTTCCAGAAATCGTATCAAAACTCCTAGCAGCTAAGCAAAATTTTGAACTATTTCTTGGATTCGTTCTTGTATCTGTGACTTGTTTTGAACGTTTTATAAAGATTTGTGCCAATTTGAACGAAAAATGGTTGAGTTATAAAACTTTTATTCTACGACGGTCAAAGGCTAAAAATCGAATTTTTCGAAATATTTTATTTTCTGATCTTACTTTCATTTCTGCACTGATTCAAATGTTGCCACGATGATCGGCGTGGTCGAAAACCGATTTGGCGAAGGGTTTTGAATAGTTTTTAGAGTTTGTGAAAAACTGGTTTTCCAGAAAACTGAGTCTTCAAGAGTCATCAGCAAAAATTCGGAAATCTGCAGTTATAACTTTGTTCTCCGCTGTAAGGGGGTTCGAATACTGTGTTAAACAAGGCTTCATCTCTTAAGGCAAGAGACTTGATGCTTTTTCGAGCGGAGAGTCTCGTTTTTGAGTTCTCTTAGAAATAAATTTTTTGCAAAGGCTAAGAGCAACGTGGAGAAGTTCAAAGACACTTTATCATATGCAGTTCGGCACACTGGTTCGGCTCGATTTTCTCTATCAGAATATGTCTGGTAAAGTCAAAAAGAAAATAGTGCTTAAACTTTGAATTACGGGCGCGTTATCTCCCAAGAAAAAAAAATGGCGCTAGAATCGGGCGATTGGAGCGAGATAACACGATTTTCGATCCGGTTTTATGAGTTTTATAATTTAACCATTTCTCGTCCAAATTGGCTCAAATTTTTAGAAAACATTCAAAAAACAAGTCAAAGATACAAGAACGAATCCAAGAAATAGTTCAAAATTTTGCTTACCCGCTAGGGGTTTCTTACGATTTCTGGAAAACCTACGTTGTAATAAAGGTTTACAACCCCTTGTAGTGCGCACAGTTGTACCCCGAATTCAACTTTCACTACAAAGCAGCCCAGTTCTTGATCCTGACAACAACATATGATTATGAATTATTACTGTTATTATATAAAAAAATGAAAACAAATCGTTTGTTGAACAATGCGGTAAGTAGAAATATGAGTCAATAGTTCGTTGTTTGTCAATAGTATTGATGTTGACGATGAGAAAATAATATTGGTAGAGGATTGCTTGTGGTGACGTGAATTGGCGGAGACTGGTTAACAACGTTTGGACAACAGAAAAGAACACAAGAGTCCAGAAACGAATTTAGAATTTAAAATAGATAGAACTTAATACCAAAAGAAAAATTCTAAACTAAACTATATCCTTTGTATATTCTAAAAAGGCACGAAGAAAAATGTGTCTTTTAAATTCGAGTTTCTATGCAACTTATAACTAGTTTATTTTTAACTAAATTAAGAATGCATAGAAGACAAAAAATAGTAAGAAGTGGTTGAACGGCCGCTACAAATACATCCCTACCCGGCGAGATTCGTCCTCGAATCTTTTTACATTTTGAACAATGAAGTTAAG